ATGTGGCACTTCATGGCGTGCTCTAGTGCCCGGGATTGTTGGGTTGTGTCTCTTTGTGGGGTTTGGTTTGGTTTGGTTTGGGTTTTTTTGTGGTTGGACTCAATGATCTCAAAGGTCCCTTCCAACCATGAAGATTCTGTGATTCTGTGACTCTGCCTGGGAGAGTAACGGTGTGGGAACGTTGGCAAGAGAATGGTGCCTGGCCTTTGGAGTGGGAGGGGATGGCAGGAGCTGCTCCATCCCTTTGCTCCAGGGGCATCCAGCAGTGCCCCGAAACCAGTTTGCTCCTCAGACTGGGTGACCTGCCTCTGGCCAGAGCATCCTTTCTACCACATGGACCCCTTTTAGCTGCATCTGAGGATGGAAAACTCTTACCTTTTAAATTCAGGCATCTCTTTGCATCTCCGAGCTGGGAGCTGACCTCTGGTGTCTCGAATAACAACTTCGTCACTGATTTATTTATCATTTTTTCGAATGTTTACTTATTCTTGCGTGGCTTCCTGTATCTCTGCCTGATTTATTACCCCCCACCCCGCCCCCCGATCCAGGCTTGTTCTGTAAACAGCTTTCTGAGCAGTTAGTCATTTCCAGTGCCCGCCGAACCTCTGCCCTGGATAAACTGGTGCCAGCCCTGCTGCTGCAGGGGAGACAGTCTGACTCCGCTGAAACCTTTTCAGTCTTTTCTCCCTGCATTTAAATGCATTTTGTTCCCCAAACAAAGTGGTAAAATGAGCTCTTCAGAGCTATTTCCACCCTCCCGCCCCTCCTTGTCTTCTCTTTGGGTACATTTGGCTTGCGACGTAGTAAAAGATGAATAATTGAGGTTATTTGTCTCCGCGCATTACTTCGGGTGAATGAAACTAAGCGCTTGTAACCAATGCAAATGATCTCACCCTGGACCCTAAAACCCTTTGCAAGAGACACTCAGTGTTGAGTCTTTCTGCCGGCGTTTCTCCAAGCTCTCTGGTGACCGTGCTCGTGCCCTGCAGTAACCTCCTTCCAGTCTCTTTTATTTTGGGAAACTTCTTGCCTTGCCAGCTAACTATTAGCTATAAACTGCTTTTTGTTTTTAAAAATCTGCATTCCTCGTGGAGCTTAAATAAATGAGAGGTTTTGCATCCTTGGAGAAGAGCCGACAAACCAGCACTAGCTCCCTGCTCCCAGCTTGCTGCTCCTCCAGCTGCTCTGCACGTGCTTTGGGGAGAGGTTCTTTTATTATTTTTTTTTAATAGAAAATTGAATAAACCAGAAGGATTCTTCTAGTCCCATGGAGGCTCATCATACTGATCACGTCCCTGGTTTGTCTCAGGAACGCCGGGAGCAACCACACTGAGCTGGGGCTGGGAGATTTGTTGTCCTTCAGCACAGGGCGGGTGTGTGATTTTGGGCTGCCCGCAGATGCTCAGCGGCCTCTCAGGAAACTCAGCTTGGTATTTTAGGAATTTTCGCTCTCTGGATGAGGAGGTCAGCTCTTTGGTCCTTCTTACTCCCGGGCACCAGCTGTGCTGGGTTAGTCTTGGCTGGGAGCTTTGGGTCCCCTGGGAGGAGAGAGCAAGGGGCTGAGCAGAGGCGGGAGGAAGAAATGGTCCTTTTTGTGCCGCCAGCAGCAGGAGGTTCCTTGTGCTACAAAAATGATTGTGATCATTCAGCAAACGAAGAAAAAAAAAACAAAACAACACCCCAGCAACAACAACAACAACAAAAAACCCCACCAAAAAGTGACACAAAAAAACCTGCACATCTTCTCTCAGAAAGATGCAATAACTGACTCGAGAATAAAAACTGTGCAGAGAAAACCCTTCAGGGATGGAAAAATCAGGACCTTCTGCAGGGGAGGCTGCTCATCCAGGAGGCTTCTCGATGGGGTGTTTGGTGGTTTGAGCCTTGTTACTGGTGGTGAGGACCCATCTCCTGATCCCGAGTGACTTTAGGGGATGGGACCTCCTCTGCAGAGCCCCAGCCTGGAGCCCCTAAGGAGCAAAGAGGGTTTGCTGAGCAGGAGGAGGTAAAACACACACCATTCATGAGGAGCATGTGCTCCTGGGCTGAGAAGCTCGGCAGCCAGCTTTACAGGTGCAATAAAGCTGATGGAAGAACTCCAGAACTGGGGCAAAGTCATCATCATACATTAATAGGCTGGAGAAAGTCACTGCTTGAAAATGTCCACCACAAAAAATCACTTTTGGGGGAGGAAACCTGCTAATGATAGGCATTCTGATAAATGAAACCTCCTGGTGCAAGTGCTGGAGTTTGAGAGGAGAACCAAAAGCAGGAAAGATGGAGATAATCACGGCTTTAACCCCCAGAGGTGATGCCATTCCCCTTTGCCTGGTGCCCACAAGAGATTGCAAGGGTGATGCAATCAGGTCCTTGCGAGGGTGATGAGAAGCAGAAAGAACATCCTGCGGGTCATGCTGATTGTGTTAGGTGTCCGTCCGTCCATCTGTCCTGGTGGCCACCTCCAGCTGGCTCAGTCTCCTTGTTTTCTTAGCTATTGCAAAGCCCCACGTCTCACCGTTAACCAGGGTTGGTCTCTGCTGGGTTCTATGGCATGTGGGGTTTTAAGATGTGTTTATAAGCAGGGAGGGGGTTTGCCCTGATGTTTCCTCTCTGTTTCCCGTGGCAGGCCATCAGGATCATCCGTGCCGTCCTGGAGAAGTACGGGACCTACGAGAGCTTTGAAGTGGCCACGGGCGGGAGGCTGCTGAGCAAGTGCCAGATCTGGTCCGTGATCCGAAAGTACATGCAGAAGGAAGGCTGCGTGGGAGAGGTAATGCCGCGTCCCTGCCTTAGCGCTTGTCAAACACAGCTGCAAAATATTTATTTTCTGATAAAAAAAAGACTCAGATTAAGAAGTGGTTTGGGTTTTCTTCTCTGAGCTGTGATGTCCTTTCGTCTCTGGCTTGGCTGCGTTGGCTGTACCCTAGTGTTGGGGTTCCCCACCAGTTTCCCTTGATTTTTTCAGTGTATATCTCCCTTTTATGCTTGAGAGAGAGAGAGAGAGAGAGGAGATGCTGCTTGTCCGTGTGGCCGTGTGAGTCTTTCTGCCAGCGTTTCTCCAAGCTCTCTGGTGAGCCTTTTGCAGGCATGGGGCATCAATTACCCCAGGAAGTCCTCTCCTGCTGATCACGGTGGTACAGCTGACAGCTTACGTGTCCAAAAGCAAAGCCAGGGGGAGAGATTACCTCTTGTCCCATGGGATGTGCCGGGTTATGACACTTTGGAACCCCAAGCTTGGGTTTTAAGGCTGGGATACCTGTCATTAGGAGACAACGGTGGCCATGGGGAATGGAGCAGGGGGGCAGTTCAGCATCTCTTAGTCTGTTTTCTCTCTGCCCCCAGCAGTACCCAGCATGGGATGTCCCATGGCTTTGGTTAAGGGGCTTTTTTTTTTCCCCCTTCCTGCCAGCAAGGAAGCAAAACACTTCCACTGCCCTGGGTTCACGCAGTGAGAAGGATTTATGGACCCAGCTTGGATTTTTTGGGGCTGGCAGGGCTGCCTTTGGCTGTTGGCCGCAGTGCTGGCTGGTGGTGGGGGGAGGGCTTCCTCACTGCTGCCTCTTGGCCAGACTATTTTTTCTAGCTGTTATTTTTCACCTCTGTCTCCAAACAGGTTCATTCACAAGCAGTTCCCCAAAGCATCACCTTGCTCGGTGGTACCCAGTGCATTTCATGCCCACAAAAGAGGGAGTGAGCAGTCCCCTGAGGTCCCACCTCCTGGTGGGACATGTTCCCACCTCCTGAACAGGACATGTTCCTCCTCCTACCCCCTGGGTTTGCCCTGGGAATGGCCCTGGGATGTGGATTTGGCACCTTGGTTCCTCCTAAGCCTTTCCTTAGGACAGAAAGGATCTCTGCAAACCTCTGACTGTAACTCAACTGCCTTTGAGCACCCAGAAGGGGTCCCGGTACCGAGCCTAGCTGCTGGCCACCCTTACACACCTACACTTATGACTTGCTAGTTGGGGACTATCTCTTGATTTTATTTTAGTAATTGATTACATTCAGCTGTTTTGCTCTTCTCCGCTAATCTAAACCCAAACTGAGCTCTGGCTGGGCAGAAAGCCATTTTTTTGCCTTACATATCGGTGTACAACTGGCTTCCTTCCAGCCCTGTGAGATTTTCCCTTTGCTGGAGGGAACGTGGGGCTCAGTAATTACGTTTGCACATCGGCGTGCGAGATACGTGGCCTTTGTATCCAAACCTTTCGATAAGTGCTCTTAAAACCATGAAAGCCTTGGTTTGTTCCTTCCCACCCGTTACAGATTTTGCTGACTTTCTCTGGGGCGGGGAATAGGGAAGGTTTTTTTTCCTTCTGCTCTTGATAGGGGGACGTTGGCAAAATTTGCACCACCACCCCCCGGCCAGAAAAAAAAACCAAACTTGGTGGAGCTTCTGCGTCGCTGATGATGTGACACCCTGCCAGGGAACGGGGGAGGTTCAGACGTGTGTCTGTGATTCCTGACTTTCACCCCGTCTGCCCTGCTGTGCCGTTTGCTTCCCTGTTGCCTACTGATCCTGCTGGCTGTCTTTAAAAAAGAAAAAAAAAGAAAGAAAAAGAAAAAAAAAAGAAAAAAAAAGAAAAAAAAAAAAAAAAAAAAGAAAAAAAAAAAGAAAAAAAGAAAGAAATAAGGGTGAAACTCTAGCGTGGGGGTTTGCGTTAGGCCAGAGACTGACCTGCAGCAGGCAGCGTGTCCAGGCTGGTGGTGGTCGCTGTGGGTGGCTGCCCCTTGTCCCCGGTGCCCGTCGGCGAAGGCAGGATCCCGCTTTCCCGCGCCACAGGCAGCTCATGGGTGAGTCCTTGCGCTACAGTTCACTTTGTGTCTTCAAAAGCTTCTTTGTTGAGGGTCCGAGCTGCAGGTGCTGAAGCTCTTCTGCTTTTTCTCCTGGCTTAGGACTGAGGTGGTGCTGCCGGAGCTCAGAGGTCTCCGTACGGATTTTGGTGAGCAGCAGAGAAGCCCTTGGCCACGTTGGTAAGTGCTGCATGGCAATCCCTGGGTTTGTGAAATGTTGTTAGCCTAAATAACGCTTGCTGGCATCTTCTGGGATCCCATCGGTGGTGCTTCGCCACCCTGGAGCTCCTCAGAGCCAGCGCCTTGTTGGCATGGGAGGTTCTGAGCAGATGGGCAGGCTGCTGGTAGCACCAGGGAGTTGGGGAGAGGCAGGAGCCCATGGCCCCATGCCACGGGAACCATCAGTAGTCTTCCCTTGGATCCTGGCAAAAAGCTCTTTCTCCATCGTTCCATCCACAAAAGCTGAGCAGAAGCTTTGTGGACTGTGAGGATGTGCTGGGGATCCTACTCTGAACATGAGAACCGACCTGGAGAACTGCTCCAGGAACAGGACTTTGCCTGAAGTTGCACCCCCTGTTTGTAACAGCTTCTGCAAAGCTCCAGGGTCCCAAAATAAGGCAAGTGGTGCTGCTCAGTGGGCGGATGGGCTGCTGCAGCCAGAGGAGGGCTGTGGGCAGTGTGAGGAGGGTGTGCGAGGCTGCAGGCTCCAGAGATGCTGAGATGCCCTTCCCATTGCTCCAGGAGAGTCGGCTCTGCACGGAGCGGCTCCCGGCACCTCTGTTTAATGAGAACAAAACAACACTCCATCATTGCATTGGCAACTAAGGGAAAAAAAAATAAATAATCCAAGCCAATGCCTCTAAAAAGTAATCAGACTGACATCTGAAGAATGACATCGTGGGGTTTCGCCCATCATCTTCTCACCCTGGTGGCCCCCATCAGGGGACTGTGACCAGCAGCTGCACCCGGGGCTGCAGGAGCTCTCAGCCTCTCCGAGCCATGTCTAATCCTGCTTCCCAACCCCTGGATCAGCCCCTTCCCGTCCCTCATTCCTCTGCCCAGCATTGTCCCAGGATCTTTCCATCCTTAGGACAGAGATGGGGAATTTCTCTCCGGGACACAGCAACCCTGTGTCTGCCTGAGTTGGGGGGTGTTTCTACCTGCAAAACCCCTGCCCTTAGTTTTCCTTCCTGGCCATGAGCTGTGACAAAGCTTGTGTTGCCAGTCGAACTGTTTGCTGATGTTTCTTTGTCCTGAATCTGCTTCCTGACCCCTTCCCTTGATGCCATCCAGCTCTTGTACAGGGAAAAATAGTTTCCACTCCTTGACTTGAGCGTTGCTGTTCCTCTGTTCCTTTTACCTTCATCATGAGAAAGGGAAAAAAAAACCATCAGAAGTGTTCCCTTTACCTTGAATTCTTCCTCCAAAGGCACTGGAATACTTTTGCTTGGAGATTTTTCTTGATTCCCCAAAACACCGTTACTTCAGCTCCACCCTTTCCTCCGTGCTCTGCCTCCAGCAGCGTCCCAGTTTGTTGCAAACTGAATTTTTCTGTGCCCTTGGGTCTTTCTCCAGATGCCATATTCCAAGGAGGGCTTCGTTCTGCATTTCAGCTCTCACTGCCTTGCCTGGAAAGGTCTCACACAAGACCTGATTTCAGAGCTGACCATCGACGCCTCGGCCGTCTCTTTGTTTCCCAGCTGTGTGCTGCCTCTCTGTTTGCTCACCCTGCACATGGTGCTATCAGATAGGGAAAAAAAAAGGGGGAAAACGTGGGTTTGGACTGTGCAGTTTGCTTCCTGCTCAGGCTGAGGGGCAGCACCGGCCCCTCTGCGATTTGGCTGGGCTCATTTGCAGATCGTTAATGCCATGGCTTTTGCCAGCTCAGGATGGGAATGCCCAGCCTGGTGAGCACTGTAGCATAAACAGCACACACACACGCCTTGATAATATTGAAAAAAATCCACTCTTTTTAAAGCCAGAGCACTCTGCTGAGTGAATTGGAGCAGGGTATATCTCTGCTTCGGGGGGAGCTCAGCCCTGGTAGGGTGCCAGGGTCCTTGCCTGTGTAGCAGCAGGGAAGATGCACAACGTGGGACACAACATTCCTAGTAAGGCAGAGGAAAAAAGCCATGGAAAAGTGATGGGCAGACATTTGGGTTACAATAAAAAGAGTTTTCTTTAGTGGTGGGAATTAAGATGCCAGTGCAGAGGGGATGGGAAAGCTGGAGGTCAGTAGAGAAGATCTGCGTGGAGCGTTTACCCATGGAACACTCAATGGAGTTAAACCCCTGGGGTTATGCAGTATTTCCCTCTACAGTTTTCACATGTGCTCGTGTTGTTTTCAGACACAGCTTCTGAACGTGCAGGAGGAAAACTGAACAGCTGGGGGGACCCCAGGCGAGCATCAGCCTCCTGCACCCCCCTCCCTGCCGCTGGGCTGACCCCACCGCAGCGAGTCCTGCTGGTACAGGGGGGACCTGGAGCTGCTGAATTCTGCTCACAGGGGGATGGTGCCTGGAGGAATCCAGCATAATGTGCCTGAAAAATGGAGAAAAGCAGAGAAGGGTAGTTTGGAGGGGCACGATATTACTTTTTTTTTTGTTGGGCTGAGGGAAAGCAGGTGTGAGACTGAAAGCACTTATCCTAGGGAAGAAGTTAGTTTTTGTACATCTAGTATCCTAAATTCCAACATCCTTGGGTTTTATTTTTCCTCATATAGGGGCAGTGGAGCCTGGCAAGACAGAGAGATGTGGACCTGGCCTTGCAGACTGCTCCCAGCCAGCCAAGCATCCCGTTATCCTGGTGGTGGAGCTTGGGCTGACACGGTCCCTCATCCCTGGCGCTCCCTGGAAGAGCCGCAGGTAGATCAGCAAAGACCTGGGGACTGTCACAGGGTGCTGCAGCGTCGTTGAGGGAGCAGGAAAAGTGCTGCGACGACACAATGTATTCCTCACCTTCCTTTTGGTTTAAACTCTGTCCCCTGTCTCTCCCTGGCCCCACCCCCATCCCAGGATTTCCGCCTCCGCTACTCGCATTTGGGATTGCCACGTGGGATGTCCAGGTTGTGTTCCCACCACACTGAGCTGCCCTGAGAGGTGGGAGTGGGTTAAAATCACAGCCAAACCTGGCTCATTTGTGCCTCCTTACTTCTGCTTGTGGTGGAGCCTTAACCTTCCCTGCCTGTTGCAGCTCCAGATGGGGCCGTTAGCAGAAATTAGTGCTGCTGCCAAAAGTCTTCACCCCACCCAAAGCCCCCTCCCATGTGATGGTGATCCTGCTGGAGACTAACCTAGAGCATAAAACCAGTTCTAGTCTGGATCAGTCCCTGCCTTGGTTTGTCCCAGGTCACCCAGACCGGTGACTGGACATGGGAGAGGGCAGGAGGGAGCAGCCCTTATTTATTTTGACTTGTTTACTGGAGCAGAAATACAGCTCGAGGGGATGTCCCCAGGCCAGGAGTGAACTGGCAAGTCTTTTCGTGGAGCTGGAAGGATTCACTTTCAGGCTGGTATATTTTAAGCCAGGTAAGCACTTGCACTGTAAGTATTTTATGCTGTTCCTTTGCCCGGTGGTTGACTCTGTCCAGTTACACTCCTGCCATCCGCGAGCAGCTGTGCACAGTAATAAATAAATCCGGGTGAAAGCAAACCCATTCGGTCTCCTCTCCTTTTTTTTTTTTAAAATAAGAGAGAAGAATTGTCGCGTAGTAACGTGTGTGCACATTTGCAGCCTGAAAAGTGTCAGCTGTGAAATAACAAGATGGGCATTAGGGTTAAGATGTACACGGGGGAAGGGTTTTGAGATGGAAGGCGCAGCCACACCTCGGATGCCAGAGCTGCTGGGGATGCGGTGGAGCCACAGCTCTCCTCTGGTGATGCTGTGGCTTGAGGGGCTGCAGGTCTCAAGTTGGATGGGCAGAAAAATGCTGCTTGGCCAGCACGTTGACGAGCTCATGTCTTGGCTCCGGCGCTCACAATAGCCAGGTTTCCCAAAATAGATGTTGGGGGTTTTTTTTCTGTATAAAAAGATGCTCTCCAGTCCTGCGCGTGCGTTGCCCATCGGGGCTGGTTCTTGTTGTGAGGGTGGGCTGGTGTGGCTCCATCCTCGCTGCTCGTGTCTTGGGGCCTCAAAAGAGAGAATCTACAGGAGAATCTGTCAAAAGAGTCGTTTAGATGTGGTGTTGGGGGATGTGGTGTAGGGGAGAACTTTGTAGAGTGGGGTTGATGCTTGGACTCGATCCCAAGGGTCTTTTCCAACCTGAATGATTCTATGATTCTGCGGGGGTGGGGGGGGGCTGTAGAGGCTGGACCCATAACGGTGCTGTTGGTTTATAGAGTGGGGTTGATTTGGTGACCGAATTTGCCGTGTTGCTCCATGCTGGTGGGGATGCAGGAGTGGGAGTGGGCAGGTCTCCGGAGGATGCCCATTGCCTGTGGCCACTAAATTGTGTGGGAACAAGCTGTTTGGGGGGGATGCTTGTGCCAGGCTGCCCAGGAGCTGCTCACCCCCACCCCCCGCCACGGTACCCGCTCAGGTTTGCTGGCTGTGAAGAGGTTAAAGAAGTTATTTCATATCCCCCTCCCCCCCCCATTTCCTCTCGGCACCCACTCCCTCCCTGCTTCTGCCATCTGTGGTTTCTTTGGGGTCACCACACCTTGGTGATGCTGCCATCTGTGGCATCGGTGGCTTTTTCTGACCATCTGCCCCCATCTCAGCCTCTCCTTAGAGCCAAGACCCTGCAGAGCATCTCCTCCCCCAGCAGTGTTGACACCAGTTGCCTCCTCCTTTTTGTTGTGCAGGTGGTGGTGCAGCTCACCGACGACCTCCTGTCCCAGGCGGTGATGATGGTAGAGGACAGCCGGCCAACGTTGGCCATCAACCTTGCCGGAGCCCGCCAGCACTGGCTGGAGGGGATGCTGCGCCACGAGATAGGTCAGTGGGGCAGGGCGGGGGGGATGCTGTGAGCATCCTCTGGTTGTCGCCGTGGTAACGGCCCGGGAGGGGTGTGGGTACCATGGGGCAAGGTGATGCCCACTGGGTCCTGGGCAGGTTTCGGAAGGGGCTGAGGCCACCTGGGTGGGAGGAAAAGGGGGTGTGGGGCACCCACCCTGGCACTGGAGTGAGCAGATGTCCCATGGTGGAGCTCCAGCCCACGCTGGAGCTGGCACCCATGGGGGCTGGGTCTCAACCCCAATCTAGTGACTCGGGAGACAGGGTGGTTGAGCTTTTTGGAGGCTGTGGCCGACGGCGCTGGCTCCCATCCTCCCCTCCCCAGGCACCCACTACATCCGAGGGGTGAACAACACCCGGCAGCCCTGGCACAGCTCCGAGGGCCGCAAGCAGTACAGCCTGAAGCCCGCCAACCCCACCGAGGAAGGCTTGGCCAGCCTGCACAGTGTCCTCTTCCGCAAGCAGCCCTTCCTCTGGCGGGCAGCCCTGCTCTACTACACCATCGAGCGGGCCAGCCGCCTCTCCTTCTCCGCCCTCTTCCAGGACCTGGAGCAGTACGTCCAGGACGCTGGCGTCCGGTGGGAATACTGCGTGCGGGCCAAGCGGGGCCAGACAGACACCTCACAGCCAGGTACTACTTGGGCCAGTGGTGCAAAGCCTTTTGAGTTTTCAAAGGGGTTTTATCTGTCTGTTTTTGAAGAAAAAGCAGAGGTGGGGATGTTTTGGTGCTGGGTGGGTTGAGCATGGCTGACCCCTGTTGTCACGGCAGCCTTTGAAATGGTGGCTCTGCCCTCCCCCCGCATCCCTCCCCCTCCCTGGCACCCTTTCCTATGGCTTTAGACTTGCCTTTATGGCAGCAATCTCTTCCTTCAGCTGCTTCGGCTGCTCAGGGATGGATGGGGTCCCCACCTCCAAGTATGATGGGAACAACTCATACGATCTCCCAGGGAGGCAGGAGCCAAAGGAGGGGGGGGGGAAAGAAATGAGCATTTCTGGGGACACGTTTAGGTTCTTGCAGTGGTTCACCTTTAAAAACATCCACTGGGAGGGAGGATGAGAGCATCCCCGTGAGAGGTTTGGGGGTCTCTCTGCACCCAGCCACCTCCATGGTCCCCAGCACTGCTCATCCTTTGGGACCCAGCGGTCCTGGCCGTGGCACCAGCAAGGTCTGAGCCCTGGTACGCTCATGTCATCCCGCTTTGACTGGGGTCAGCAGATGTTCTGGAGGGTGGTGGAGGACCAGGCTCCCCCTCTGCAGCCTCTCCTGCTCTTCCAGGCTGTTTCAGTAAGGATCAGGTCTACCTGGATGGGATTCTCCGCATCCTGCGCCATCGGCAGACCATCGACTTCCCGCTGCTGGCTGCGCTCGGAAAGGTAACGGCTGGGGCATCATAGAATCATAGAATTGTCCAGGTCTGGAAGGGACCTCCAAAGGTCATCTAGTCCCACCCCCCCGCAGTCAGCAGGGACACCCCCAACTAGACCAGGTTGCCCAGGGCCTCGTCGAGCCTCTCCTTGAATATCTCCAGGGAAGGGGCCTCAACCACCTCCCTGGGCAACCTGTTCCAGTGCTCCACCACCCTCACAGTGAAGAACCCTCTCCTCATCTCCAGTCTAAATCTGTTCCCCTCCAGCTTGAAGCCATTGCCCCTCGTCCTGTCACTGCAGGCCTTTCTAAACAGGTTCTCCCCAGCCTTCCTGTAGCCCCCTCAGGTACTGGAAGGCTGCTATTAGGTCTCCCCGGAGCCTCCTCTTCTCCAGGCTGAACAACCCCAGCTCCCTCAGCCTGTCCTCGTAGCAGAGGTGCTCCAACCCCCTGATCATCCTCCTGGCCCTCCTCTGGACCCGCTCCATCAGGTCCATGTCCTTCTTATATTGAGGGCTCCAGACCTGCACACAATACTCCAGGTGAGGTCTCACCAGAGCAAAGTGGCAGAATCCCCTCTCTGGACCTGCTGGCAACGCATCTTTTGATGCAGCCCAGGATGGGATTGGCCTTCTGGGCTGCAAGTGCCCACTGCCTGCTCATGTCCAGCTTCTCCTCCACCAGCACCCCCAAGTCCCTTCCCTCAGGGCTGCTTTCTAACACCTCACCCCCCCAGTCTGTGTTGATGGTGAGGATTGTTCCAGCCCAGGTCCAGAACCTTGCATTTGCTCTTGTTGAACCTCATGAGGTTCACCTGGGCCCACCTCTCTAGGTCCTTCTGGATGACATCCCATCCCTCTGGTGTATCGACACCACCACACAGCTTGGTGTCATCTGCAAATGGTACCTTTAGGCTGATGGTGCCTTTAATCCCTCTGAAGGGAGGGGGAGGGGGTGATCCCAGAGCCCCATCCCAGAGCTCAGGTGGGCTCCCACAGGTCCATGTTTTCCTGAAAACAAGCCCTTGGCTACCAGCCCAGCAGCTTTTTGCCGTTTTGGTGGAGCACAGGGAGAGAAGATGTGAGGAAGGACAGGACAATCCATACCCCTCCGCAGGAGACCCTCGGGGAGAGACTTAACCCAGTGGGATAAGCTCTGCTGGCCCTTGGCCACACTGGTCCTGCTGGCACCTGTCCCTGCAGGGACCCAAAATGACCAAATCCTTGCAAATCCCCTATCTTCAAGCAGCTCTGCCGGTGCCTCCCCAC